TAATTTGCAAAGTCTATAAAAATTGTATATGCATCACAAGGTGTGTGCAGCTTCAGCATTTTCTACCTGGTGAATTGTGCACCTAAGGATCCTTATATAAAGATAAACCCCTTTTAATCACCTAACTGTGTCTGGCTCATAATTCTAGGACCAGAGAAAAAGGCACCAGGGAGATCACCAAACTGCTTAGGGAATACATATCCTTTTGCAAAGGTTGAGCTTGTGYTCCTAGTTTCTTTGGCAATTTCCATAAATCCTAGCTAGCTGTGCCTGGCTGGAATCTGCAGCTTTCAGTTTTCCACCCTCAAGGCTGAGCTAGTTGTATCTACAGTGCTTCATGGAGAGAGGMTTGCAGTATGCCAGCACACCCCTGGCTGTGCCAGCACTGCTGCCCAAGAACCCAGCAGTCTCATCCCAGACTGGAGGGAAAGTCCAGGCCCCTGTAACTTCAAATGAATGGGATGGAGTGGGTATATCCTGGGAGATTTCTGAGAATTCTGCCTTCTCTCTCGGCATTCTTACTTCTCATAGGTGCTCTTCTCCCTTTCTTCCACACCCACCTCAGTGCTATTTGGAGCCATCCCCAATTCCAAAAAGATTTACTCAGTAATCAAGTAGGACCACAAATATGAGTTGCYCTCTGCACCATTAGCTCCTGTTTGGCCAGCTCTCTTCCCTGCTGATCTCAGAGCAAACCAATCTGCAGGTGAGCAATGCCTCATTCTCATGTCAGCTGACACAGGACTCCTCATTTCCCACCTTTGTAGGATGGACTATAAAATTCGTTCTTCAGCCATCTCACTGAGTATTTTGTCTCAYCTTTCACACCACATCCAGGGATATCCAGTTGCTTGTACCACCAGTAACTGCAAGTCTGCCAAGTTTCAGCTCAAACTTTGCAGAATCAATTAGGTTAGAAAATACTTGAAATCACTGAGCCCAGCCTATGACCGACCACCACACATCAACTGAGTGCCATGTCCAGTCTGTCCTTAAACAYTTCCTGGGATGGTGAACTCCACCACCTCCCTGGACTGTTAAGTTGTATATAACACTCCCTGGAGCATTAAGTAGGACTGGTCTCAGCACACATCCCTGGCTGCCAAGTGGATACAGCACCATTCCCCACCACTCTTTGGGTTTTTAACCCAGTGAGGGATGCACTGTCCAAGCTGTGGGCTGCCAGCTTTTCCAGGAGTGTGCTGTGGGAGACGTCAGAAAGATGCTACTCTGCTGCAATTGAGGCTTTTTACTCTTTGCCCTACCTTCACTGTGTAATGTGAACAAGCTYGCTGCATCCTTTTGTAAAATCTTTTCAGCTTAGTAATAGGTAGCAGCTATGCTTTTCCCTCACCCACACACCTTCACCCATGCTTTTGCTTTCAGGCTGAACACATCTCCATTCCTCCAGTTCTCCTCTGGAGGTTTTAGATTCCAACACTCCTAAGCAAGCACTGATCATACCTACAGCAATTCTCTAAATTTCCTCTGGTATCTTGGTCAGAACCCTTGTCAGGTTCTTAGCCAGACCACTAGTCTGGCAGAAACACCMAAAAAATTACTTTTCATAAATGATGCTTTATGGAATTTCAAATTTCAAATGGTGATTTTCAAATTACCATTTCTACTGCTGTGCAGCTGCACAATAGAAACAAACCCAAGAGAGGCTTCTGTAGAAGAGACAATAAACAAAGAAAAGCTTAAGGGAGAAAATGAAGAGGGAATATGAAAGACAGAAGAACGAGTCTGCAACTCATTATTTTCTTTGGCCTTTAGTATTTGGGGCAAAATGACAGAAATGGATATGGGGACCACAGGGATAGGAGAGTTGGGAGCAAGAGAGAACCACTGGCAGAGCTTCCTGGTAAGTTTGCTTCCTTTACTAACACTAGGTATTGCACAGACTTAGAGAATTAMACCATAAAACTTTGAATCTTTCAGATATGAAAAAAACTATCCAACAGAAAGAGGACAAAGACACAGATCCATATTAGGCAATCTAATATCTAATGATGCTTAGTTGATGACCTTTTCCTCCTTCCAGGATCAATGGAGAGAACAGGTGCTCTAAAAACTGCTCTTTGGGGCACCCTATCACTTYCACAAGCAGACTCATGAAGACCAACCCCTTCTGGCCACTACTTAGAATTACCTAGTGGCATTTCAGAATATATCTAACAATGGTGCTTCACTGCACAAATGCATATATGAAGTCAATCATATAAGTGCATACACCTGAAGAGATTATGTGCATTTGTGTTTTGCTGAAAGGATATGAGAAGCTTGTGAACCTGTTACAAGACTCAAAAGGGGAAATTGTGACAATAGATTGGACCAGATAACCAGGAATGCCTTCTCACCTCATTAATCTCTGAATATGTTTGAAGCTAAGTACATGTACAAAGGCTTTGTTGCATCTGTTTCCACACCTTACTCCTTCAGAGGCTATCTGCTAACCAAGATGACATTCAATGGAGAGAGAGCAACCAGGAGCAAGAATCAGTTCCTGGAGAATTTGGAAATGCTCGTGTCTGGAGTAGGGAAAAGTCCCCAGAGCATGCCCTGATTCTGCAGACCTTTTACTAATTTGTATGATGCAACTTCTCAAAAAATCGTATCTTTTCAGGGAGCATAAAATTTGTGCTCTTATCTCCATATGTACTGGAGGAATTTTAACATTGTTTAAATATTTCACTACCTAAAGTCTGAGTGATAGAGGATGAGACTGTTCTTCACTGCTTTGTTGAATACTACAGAGTTGTTTCT